TTCTTCTTCTTCTTCTTCTTCTTCTTCTTCTTCTTCTGAAATTTTTTTTTCTTTAGTTCTTTGGCGCCCCGTCGGCTTCCCCTATCTTTACAATCCTTGATCTTCACCTTCTTGTCTTGTGATGGTAGGAAGGAACTGCCTGGTCGAGCTCATTTTAATAAACTTGGATCTAAATGAAGAAAAATTCGAGTGGTTATGGTTATCGGACAGGCTCTTTGTTTCTCAACAAGGTTTCATTTGACACCATGCATCATATAGTACTTAATATACTAGTGTGCCGGTTTCCACAACTCTCTGACGAGGGGATTATTGGCTACAGTTTCTGTCTCGCTCTGAAAAAGTCTAACTAGATCGTGCACGGACCATCGTCTTTCGATTATCCAAAACATAGTCGCTTGTGGCGACCTGGCAGGGGGGATATTTATTTTCTAGTAATTGATTCCGAGGCTAGATGTGCTAGCTGGTGGACAATATTTGCCATGCTGTAATGCTCTTATGGCTCGTAACCTTCTTTCGCATATTCACCAGTCTTAAACCCCATACCTATTCGGCAACTGTCCTTCACTGAAGGCTGTTCCATTATCCACCACTCACAACCGCTTTTACTAGCTCACAGCTGGTTGGACGGACGGGCGGGCTTCATTTTCCTAGACTTTTTATCTTGCTGACGATGAGAACTGTGTGAGTTTTGTTCCCCCCAAAGATGGACCTTATTAATCCCTCCTCGCGACCTCTCTGCACTGTTTCAGGCTATGAAACGCGCCTACTTCAAGCCCTATCATGATAGCCTCCGAAATATGAACCAAGTCGCGCGTGAGCCTGACACCGAAAATGTGTGTCCCCTCGAGGTGACTGAGTCTGGTGAGCAGGTTCCTGCGGAGTCTAAAAAGGACAGTGGTCGGCCTTGTGGCCAGGAATCCAGCGGAGACCCCAAAAAACGCCCCTCATTGACCAAACGTAAATCAACTGTGGGTGTGGACAGCACGCGAAAGCGCAGTCTCGCGGCGCGGAATGATAACGGTACGTTTGCTTTCACCTACCTTTGATTGATTTCCACTTTTTATTCCAATAACAACCCTCTAGTTGAAGGTTGCTGATGGGACACTGCACCTAGTGAGACCATAAAATCCAAAAGAAGAAGAAGTTGCGACCACTGGAACAATAGTTTTATTTTCCTGACCTTTCGGATTCTGTCGAGAATCCTTAAGCATAGGTACTCGTAGGATAGTCTGTGTCATGAGCAGATAGAATCCGTCGATATTTTGCAAACTTGGAAGATTACTTAACCTGAGTTGGAACGACTACATGTATGAACATGGATCTAGATTTATTTATATGCTGTGGTACAATGGGGGGTCGTGGAAAATGGTGCCTGTTGTGCTGACATTACTCTAACTGTTTTTTTCTCTCTCTACTACTACTACTAATCTGTTTTTCCTTTTTAGTTCTAATACACCGATTGTAAGATGAATAAGACACAGTTCTAGGGCAATCATAAATTCGGAATCCTCGTCTGTTTGGCTCATACTTATTGAATCGAGCTGTTCTATCTATTCCAATTATGACAGTGCCACTTCTCAATAAAAAGCTCCGTGTGTGCGGTATTAAGCGGTAGCTTGTTTTGTTTTTAATGTTTGCTAAACAGCGGACTGTTTTTTGAAAAGATTAAGATTTTACTGCTTTCCTACTTTCAATTTTCTAGCAAGGAAACGTCTTGGAAATGTTATAATATGTAAAGACGGCAATTCCTAGAGGATCAGCTTTTAACGCGGTCCTTTTTGCTTCATGGCACATTTAGGAACGCTGGTAACCCCCTAATAAACTGATTCCCTCGCAACTGCGTCATTTACCTACACAAAACTAGCGAAACACATGTCAGGGCTTTTACCTAATTCCTGAGTTGTCGGTATGGTGAATCATATAGTATTTGTATACTGATGACTGCTTGCTGGCTAGATATGAATATTAAACCGCCACTCCGCCGATGCTAATGGCTTTCAGCTCAAACATTAAAAGCAACTTTCAGACCGAACTTCAGAGGGTTTGTTTTAAAGAAATCACCCCAATTTCGTGCACTGATGACCTAAACATGAATGCCCGAAAAATGCTGCTAGACACACGTCCCATCTAAACATATCCCTCACTCATGTGTGAAACGTTCTTTAGTCTATTTCATCTAGACATCTATGTTAAGTTTTATAATTCCGTTGGAGACTGATATGTGAGCTTGAGTAAATTCCACCCCAAAGGCCCCATGCTCGCCCGAAAGTTTGTTTAAATATTTCGGCTGAATGTAATTAACTTCAATGAAATAACCTGGCAGATTGCGATTATCAAGGCCGCTGCATCCGCCTTAGCAGTTGTGACAGTTTCTGACCTCTAAGTCTCCGTTGGCGCTTCCTTATTGTAGCAACGCACTTTTTAAGAGCCTAAATTCAGGGGGGAGGGGGGGGACGAAAGATGCGGAGGTTGCACCGTTCTTCGACACACTTGTCGGATTGGCTGCGCTGAGAGTGGTTGAACGCACCTCTTGACCAGTTGTACTGTGTGCTTCGAATCCCGCCGCCCAATAGACAATCCCAAGCCCCACATTGCGTAGTAAGAGAGCTGGGAGTTTGCGGAAGACGTGTGATGTAGAGGACACGAATTCATTTTTTTGTCATGGGGCATAATACCGGAGGAAGTAGGAGTTACCAGAATGTGGGGGTTACCACCGACTAATCGTACACTTATCGGTACCTTTGGTAAGGCCGTGGTCTGGAGGACAGTGCGGTATCATTATACTTGAAGAGCAATAAAGCGCTTGCCCCGGTCTACCTTTCAGCTATTCAGCAACGTTATCTGATCGACCTACAGACTAGCGTGAATCTATGGTTATGCTCTTCTCAAAGAAAGGTGGCAAATCACGATTTTCCTGACGTCATCATAAAAGTAATCGTAGTTGTCCTCAGTCCCTTTCGCTCGCAACGCGCTGCGTAGGTCTAAAAGACTCAGTGCGATTCTTGGCGGCGAGGGTATGTGTTGATTCGCTATTCTCACCTCCTTAACCCTTCATACAACTCCACCGTTCTCAAGAGTTTACCCTCTTCTGCATCGTGGATTCTGCCTCTGCGTTTGACTATCCATAAGCCCATGAACTGACTAATTTCGCTCGGGATTCTGTCACCCATTGAACACAGTGTTCTGTCCACAAGAAGGGAGACAAGACAAAATATGAGAACTACCGCGGCATAATCCTCATTGACATTGCTGCGAAGATTTCGCTATTGTTCTCCTCAGGCGGTTCCAGTCTGTGCGCGACTCCAGGACGCGACCCAACTAGGCCACATTTCGTGCTGGGCATGGATGTGTGGATCAGATATTCACACTGAGACAGATCCTTGAATTCTGCCATAGCTACCAACAACCG